TTTTAATGTTTATTTATTTTTGAGAGAGGGAGAGAGGGGCAGAGGGAGAGGGAGACACAATTCCAAGAAGGCTCCAGGCTCCAAGCCCAAGGCGGGGCTCAAACCCACAGACTGCAAGATCTTGACCCGAGCCGAAGTCAGAGGCTTAACTGACTGAGCCACCCAAGTGCCCCAGGAGGTTACTAGTTTAAAGTGGGTGGTGGGGTGAACCTTCCAGGGGGTGAACAGCAGAACAAAGGTGGGAGGTCACAGGATACCTCTGAGGAATGGACTGGAAGCCTGGGAGAGTCCCAAAGGCTGGGTGCGGACGTGGTGACTGACCAGCGGGAGAGGCCGGCAGGGCCAGACTGCACAGGCCCTAGGCAGGCTTAAGGGTTTCGGTCTCTGCCCCAGGAGCAGGGTGGTGGGGGAAAGAGACCAAACCAACTGGTGCTTTGCTATGGGGACATGGCCACTGAGTAGAGAAATGGCTGGAGGGGGCGGTGACAGCAGATTCAAGAGGCCAATGGGGCACCTCGGTCCAGACAGACGCGGTGGTGGCTGGAATGAGGGTGCAGGTGTCAGGGAGGGGAAGGCACGATGGATGCCACTGCTTTTCCAGAGGTAAATCACAAGCCTTGGCCATGGCCTGGGGATGGGGGTTGCTGAAAAAGAGGTGCCAGGAATCACTCCCAGGCTTTTGACCTGCACACCTGGAGGGATGGTGGCCCCTTTCACCTGAGCTCTTTTGGGGGTGCTCCTCACTCCCCTCACAACCCCGGGCTGCTGGTGCTGGGCAGATTCATTTCAGACGCCCCCTGAAATCAGAGAAGGAGGGATGCGGTGAGCGATTTCAGTTCCCTCATGCTGCACAGGAAGCAGCCTCAGCTCAGAGATTATGGGACTGACATAGGGATGGGGTCAGAGCCCAAGGCCCCAGACTCCCATCCAGAGTTAGGGGAGCACCGTCTGCCGGGGAGGATTCCAGCTTGGCCATGAGCCTGCTTGGACTCCAGCCCCGATTGTGCCCCATCTCGCTGAGTAAGCCCAAGTGGGTCACCTGTCTTCAGGCCTCAGTTTCCCTGCTGTGACATGGAGGGAAATGAAATTCCCACTTCTCTCAGGGGTGCTTGAGAGATAGCAGGGGTCACTACCCGGGAAGAGTGTGGGGAACATGGAGAGAACAGTGTGCTGGCCGCCTGTGGGGGCTGAAGTAGAGAACTGGTTTGGGAAGGGATGGGGGTGGGGTTTCCCCACTTCCTGTCCTTCCTGTCTCTCTTGCAGGGTCTGAAGGCTGAGTAGCCAGCGGGATGCCTGGGCTGCTGAACCAGCTCACAGGGGCAGCCCTGCCCCTCACCGCCTCCGATGTCACCTCCTTCGTCAGTGGCTACGCCCTGGGGCTGACGGCCTCTCTCACCTATGGCAACCTGGAAGCCCAGCCCTTTCAAGGTGAGGACCCCTGTTACGGCTGCCCCAGGGCCACCCTGCTCTCAACGTGTTTTCCTCATTTTGACACACACAAGCGGATGGATGTAGGGCAAGTCATGTAACTTCTCCGAGTCTCGGTTTCCCCATCTGAGAAATAAGAATGGCATTTCTGCCCCCAGAGGCCTCAGAGCCAGTAGCAAATCAGGTCGGGCTTTGGGCTCAGCCCCCACCAGCTGTCCCAGGACTGCCTGTGTCCCACATGGGCGTGCCCACCCGCATCAAATGGCCAGACCCAACTTTCTCAGGGAGCCCCACAGCAGGAGAGTCGTCAAGACGCCATGCAAACCCAGGAGCTCCCACTCTTAGGCGTGGCTCACCCTGGTCATCTGTTTAGGAAAATCTCCAGAGGGTGACAAAACAGAACTTGCTGGGGACCCAGGAGACTAAACGACGGGCCAATGTCAGGATGGTCCTTTGGCATGCCGCATGCGGGAAGAACCAGCCTCTGCCCATTTCGTAGATGAGGAAACTGAGGCTCAGAGGGATGGGAGCCGGGGTGGGCTCACCATCAGCCAGGCATTGAGCCGCCCTGGTGTTCGTGGCCACGTTAAATGAGATAGAGCCTTGATCCCTCTACTGAATCAGAATCTGCCTTTTAACAAGACCCCCAAGGTGACTCATGTGCTCTTAGAGTCTGGGAGGCACTAAGGTCTAAACACACGGGGCACACACTCTGGGGCACATAGCTCAATAAATGGTGGCTACTTTTTCCATTTGCATGACAACCTCATGAGTTTGGCTCTACTGAGCCCATTTTACAGATGGGGCTGGGAGGCTTAGAGAAGCTAAGTGTCTTATCCAAAATCACCAGGCGAGGAGAGGTGGTAGGGACTGGATTAGAACCTTAGTTCTAAGGTTCTTCTTCCTCCAATGTCCCAGCATGCAGAATAGGTCACATAAAAATCCAGATTTCCACTGTGTCTTGAAAACTCAAAAGCCCTGGCCACATGGGTCTCATGTGCCTGCACAGTCAGCTGGGACAGGGGAGCAGATGTCCCTTTTCCAGTCGCCCCACTGTTCCCACAGTTCCTCTGCTGCACTTGCCTGCTGGCTCCAGAGCCACAAGGTCCCAGCCAGAGCCCTCTGGCACCCTCTCTGTGACAGTGAGAACCAACCATGGATCTGGCAGGTCAAAGGCTTGGGTGCCCTCCGTGATGCTGATGCAAGGTGGGGCTGGGACCCTCCGTGATGCTGATGCAGGGTGGGGCTGGGACCCTCCGTGATGCTGATGCAGGGTGGGGCGGGGACCCTCCGTGATGCTGGGCCCTTCCCTGGCAGGCCTCTTTGTGTACCCACTGGATGAATACACCACAGTGATCGGCTTTGAGGCAGTCATTGCCGACCGTGTCGTGACAGTACAGATCAAGGACAAAGCCAAGATGGAGAGCAGCCACTTTGATGGCACCCGCATCCGAGCCACAAATGTCACAGGTGAGGAGGACGGAAAGGCCGTGGCAGGGCCTGGGTCTGGCTGGGGTCTCAAGCAGTCTGAAAGGACAACAGTGGGATAGGGTAGAGAGAGCACTAAACTAGGAGTCAGGAATCCTGTGTGCCCTCAGGCTAATAATTTACTTCTCTGAACCTCATTCCTGTTCTCTCACCTCAAAAGCAGGGTGAGGATCAAAGGAGGCGACAAAAGCATTGCTAAGTTGCCTCTATAGAGCAGAACAGCGTGTCCATTAAGCTCAGAGGTTGTGGAGTGAATCACACCAGGGTTTGACTCCCCATCCTGTTGCAAATGGTATGGGCTTAAAGAAAAAATTACACTTCATCCGTAAAATGGAACAAATAATCGTACGCATCCAAAGCCGAACAGAGACGTGATTGTGGAGATGGCAGTCTCTGGTACAGAGTAAGTACCCAAATCATGGCTGCGGATGCCTGCTACTGAGGATACTGAGGCACAGAGAGGGCCCACACAGCCTCCCTGTGCCATCTGAGGGGACAGCATGAGTGTGGTAACCTCGCAGCATGGCCCAGGACCTCAGAGGAAGTTAAGGCCGTGAATATATTCTTCAGGCAACACCCAGGCCGGGTGGTGCAGAAAAGGGGGATCCCTGGGGTGGCTGGGTGGCAGGTCTGGGGTCTATCGATGGCCATGACCACCAAGGAGACATATGAAACACACAGGTGCCCAGATGCAGTCTGAGCTGGTGGGAGAGTAAGACCAGGAAGGAATCCCAGAGAGGAAAGGAAAGGAAAGCCATCCCCAACATGTACTGAGAGGAAGCCCTGGGGTGAGCCCTCTACATGCAGTGTCTCACTTAAACTTGTCTCAGCCCAAGTTCACACAGCATGTTAGTGACAAGTCAGGATTTGAAGTCAGACCAAGGATCATGTGACATAAGAGACTCTTACCATTGGATCTGTGATCAAAGTGACATTTGTTCACCTGATCATTAAGACAGTCAAGAATCTTCGAATGAGCACCCACTGTGGGCAAGACACCAAGCTGCCTCCAAGTTGTTAGGGCTGCTCACAGTCTGGACGAAAAGCTGTACACGCATCGGGGGAGCCGCAACAGGAGGTGGAAGGCAGCTGTGCCAGAAGGGGTCTGCGTAATGTCAGAGGAGGGAAGGAGGGTCCGACTGGGGACCAGAGAGGCTTTTGTGGAGGGGCTGGTGGCTGCGTGAGGCTGGCCAAGTAGGGGCGAGGGAACGGGCCTCTCAGACAACAGCAATAGACATGAACAAAGGCATCTGCCCCAAAGGTGGGGGGATACTTAAATGTGGTTCTTTGAGGGGAAGCAGGGTCTGCGGATGGGGGCATGGCCTCTGTCCAGGTTGTGTGGGTCCCAGCCCCCCACTCCCAGCAGGGTGCCAGTGGGAAGTACTCCAGCCTGGCCTCGGACCCACGTGGGTTCAGATCCCGGGCCAACGAGTTAGTTATTTGCCTAGTAACTTGGGCGAGTTGCACCCCTCC